TTCCAATAGGTTAAGGGCATTTTTTACCCTTTCCCCTTTATTTAAGAGGAACTTTCGTAAATAGCCACTATAATAAACTTAATTATGCTTCATAGCTATAGTTTGCATATTTACGGGCTATAGTTACAGTTTAAACAGTCTCGTTTGTATAATTCAAAGGTTTGTATAATTCGCGAGTACATTCGAATAATTCAGTTATTTTTGTATAAACTCGAAATAACAAATTTATACAATTACAAAACATCAGAAGTGTAAATAGTTATACAAATTTTGAATTATTCTGCCATTTGATCCTCCATATACAACCCATGCTTAACTTTAAAAGAACATATGTCATTTCATTACCATAGGACCTCTACCTAATATAACCTTAAGACACACTTGAGTGAGACAAGAAGTGACCGCCCATACAACCTCTTCAAGCACGTTCCTCAAGATTACCTTAGATAAGGACATTTCCTTTACAACATAACATCAATAGACCAACATTCTTTAAGAAACCATTTAAGAGACCTTCAAGTACATAAGGGGACTTTCGCATAATAGTCATTAGACTTAGGGAACTCACTTTAGTATCTTCAAAGCCTACTCGTGCCATGTTTAGATAACGTCTCATACTACTACCTACACATTGTAGAACCTACTAGGCAACCCATGTAGGCACATGGTTTAGGGGATGTCCAAGGAAGTTCATTGTGTCTAATCTCATACTCAACTAGGCCACCTTCCTAGCCACATCCACTCGGTGCTAACCTTATTTCCCATACAATATTCAATCAAGTGTGTACTTAGAGAGGGTTCCTTTTCAAATTCAACCAACTCATAGTACCTCTTCGCAAGAAAGGCCCCATTTCTTAGTCATAGCCAATCAAGGTTCATAAGGATAGCTCATTTAAATTTCTTAGATAAGGATTCTCATGCCGTTCCAGCTCCATCCATGTCTAAGTCTATCATTTCACTCAAGAAGGGAACATCGCCCTAAGGCCCATCCTTCAAGGTTATTCATTTATTTAGGAAAGCTAGACTGATGAAAGGGCACCATTTCTTAGTTCTTCCGATACAAGTCTTGGCCTAGAATTCCTCTTTTAGCATTTATAGAAAGGGCACCATTTCTTAGTTCTAGCCCACTTCACACATTCATGCGTTCAAGACTTTAAGTAACAAGAAGAGACACTTTAGGCTACTAATCAAGTCACATCATTATCATCTGAGGACACTTCACAATCCAACATCATCACATATATACATCATGAGAAATCATACTTTAGATCACAACGCTATCCACTTTACATAGGATCATCACAAGATCACATAAACTCATTCACATCATATCCTCACATATAGCTTCACATAAAGGTTTACATATAGGACTTTACATATAGACTTGCTTATATATAATAACACAACAATACACAATACTCATATAATTCCCTTCATGACCACAATCATAATTCAAAAGCAACAAGCAACACTTCCACCATAGGTGGATCCAACCTAAAAAGCAATTATAGCATTATTAAGATATCAGGCCATCTTACCACCTTTCAAAGGCCATAAGCCACAATACTCAATTCCATGCAACTTATACAATATTCATCAAGTTAGATCAACTTACCCTCTTTCCATAGCTATCTTCATCATCCTCATAGTCCAACAACTTACAATACAATAACAATGATAATAACAACATTCAACTATACAAGTTAAGCTAAACAATGTTCAATAACCAACTAAATCCAAATTTATAACCATTCAAGGCCACTACTTCACATTATACAATTAAATAACAATTTCCAACAATTCAACATAGCTAAGATCATATAAGAACAGCCCACATCTAACCATTCAATAATCATTCATCAGTTACTCAAAATCAATACACCCAATTTAGGCCAATTTTAGAGAATTTGAGAAGACATGGGTTCATGAAGATTTCTTTCTTAAAACCATCAATAATCATTAATAACAACATGAAACATTATTTAAAATTATTTAATGTAAGAACCCATGCTTAGAATTCGAAATAGGGTTTTGTGTATTTGAAAAACCTTGAAAACCTTTTGATTGGGTTCCTTGAAAGAAAGAATAATCAAGGATAAAGGATCTTCATACCTTAATCATCAAGAACCAAACGAAATTGAAGAAGAAATCAGTAGCCACCATCAACCCTAGCTCCATCTTTCAAGTTGAGCTTCCATGGGGTTTTTGAGAGAGTTTTGAGAAAGGAAGGGTTTTGAATTTAGGAGAATGACTTTAAATGTTTAAATATACTTAAAAACACTTAAAACAATAACCAAAGGTACCCAAACTACCCCTCACTTAGTTGGACCTTTTTAAACAAGTCAAACTTGAGTTTTATTTTTGCAGATTTCGTCGGGGCACAGGTTCGCGACGTGGAGGTGTTCCCACCAGTTTCATAAATTAAAATCCGAGAGAGTAGAGTGTAGGTGGCGTGTTTAAATTAGGACCATACATTGGGATTCTTTTCCCCTCATCGCAGCGAGTCGGGATGCTATCTCTCTTCTCCTTCGTCACTCAACCATCAAAATATGGTATATAATTAACAAACTCTTTTTTTTTTTTACTTAAAATTATACTGAACCGTCCGCAACATGCCCGCGACGTGGACCAAACATTTGACCATTGGTGGAGCTAGTCCGCGACGCGGACATTCTCCCTCCAAGCACAACTTCAAGCTGCCTTGGCAGCTTGCTTGGCCAAGGTTGGGGTCCTCCTTGGGGACCCTTAGGGTGGGCCCCGGGGAGTTGTATCCGAACATTTTGACCCTAAAAACATTTATTAAGACACTAGGGTCATGTCCACTAATTTTAGACTCCAAACAACACATAAAAACATGAACAACATACTAGAACACACCAACACGTAAAAGACTAGTTTCCGAACGTCTTGGTCATCCCTTGACGTTTGACTTCCAAATTCTTTAAAACTGACTAAAAAGGTTGTTCTTCATTATTTTAACAAGTTATTAATGCATAAAACCCATGTGCGGCTCTACTTTATCCTACTTCATTTTGAGGGGTGTTACAAGAACCTATCAGGAAACGCAACAAAAATCCTGCACCCATAGCCTGCAATTGATCAACATTTAAACCGTAAATTTCAAGGGAGATTTATGGTGATAGGATACTGACAATTATAGAGCCTTAGTTCAAATTTCCAAAATAATATTACTTGAATACCTAAGAGAAGTGCAAAGACCTCCCTGGATGGTTTGTAAGACCTGTATAATTGGCCTTCTTCACTCGTGGATAGGACGATAAATATTCAGAATTTTTTTGTGCATTCTCCCGCATGACATAAATTATTTAGTTAGAACACTGTGATGTGCAAGAATTTTACAAACCACCCTAACTTCTCTGCACAATATAGAGATGAAGATGCAGCAGGTGCAGGAAGGCATAAATGTTTCTAGAACGAGTGCTGGGAAAACTGATTTCACCACCAAGAAAAAAGCAAATAAAATTAAACTTGTTTTTCTACACGAAGAGCCATTGTTTTGATTCCTCTCAAAGAAAGCCAACAATTGAATGGCACTAACCCTGCACCTTCACCATTTTGTAGGAAGTACACCACTTTCAACAAGCTGGTTAAATAGGAAAATTTATAAGCAAATTATCAGGAGGACACTTGAGATGTTCAAAGAGAAACAAGGCATTAGACATCATTTACGTTCAATACGCATAACTAACTAAACATTTTCAGATATAGACTTGTCAATGAACTGATTTCTTAAACTTACTTAACTTAACTTAATCAAAGTATCAACAACAACAACAACAACAACAAAAAGAATTCTTAAACTTCATGGTCTATTATAGGGAAGCCAGTGCATTCAGGAAAAGAATTTCAGTATCGCGAAGTATTGCACAAATTTGTGCATTGTAGGGTCTGTCTATAGGGTGCATAGAGAGGACTTCTTGTATACATAAGGCATGGAAGGGATCCATATTTTACTTGCATGATTGTAGGAGGAGTCCAATGGACTTGAGGCAAATTCACATGCATCAAACAAAAATAGGGAAGGAGAATTATTACTTCAACGCAAGAAAAAGAATTTGAATGACTTCGAGAAATCAGAGTGTAGTAGAACTATATAAATGGGAGCTTGAAATGCTATAAAAATGAGGCTTCCTTTAAGGAGAAAAAATATATTACTCACTAAATTGAGCACTGTAAATGATTCTAAAGTAACAAAGTACATGTTCATTATTCTTCCAAAGCTTACTTCAATTATCATTTAAGCCTAAACTTTCATGAACCCAAACCAAACAGCAACATCGATAATTTAAAGACCTCACATTTTTTGAACAAAAAGAAAGGGAACTCAGGATGGGAGAAAACTACGATTACAAAAATGAGAATTCAAACCAAACAAGTATGAATGATTCAAAATAGACAAGCAGTGAATACAACTAAACATACTCATTTATATAAGATAAGAGAATCAGGAAGAAATTTAACTGAAATACTAAAAAAATACCCAATCATTATGTTTAATCAACAAGCAATAAGCTGGAAACCATAAGAAAATAAGAATCTGATCCAGTTGTGGTGTTAACTTTGAGCTAAAATAAGCCCTTTATATTAACCACAAAACAGCGAACAAGCTAAGACGAGGAAACATGTCACGACCCGGGAGCACCCCCCACGTCGTAACAAGGCGTACTCGACCCTGAAGGGGTCTTATACGAGCCACATAGTCATTCATTGCATTCAATAATGAAAATAGTGCGGAATAAAAAAAACTTATTTACATCCACACATTTAAACTTCTTAAAACAACTTTAAAAACACACAGCGGAAGTCTAAGTCTCACATGGCCATCTTAGACACAGTCGCAAAACATAAGTAGGGACACGGCCCTTTACAATCAAAAGAAGTCTATTACATGAACAAAAGAACTTAAAAGTTTTGTCCTTGAATCCATAAGGACATACCAAGTCTTGGAGGAAAGCAATCCAACACTTCAAACTAGCTAAGAGGGATCACTTGCCGGAACCTACACTTGTAGTAAAAACATGAAGAATATGGGTTAGTACACAAAATGTACTAAGTATGATGACCATGCAAAAATATGCTTTAAAAGGGACATTTTAGTTAGAAACCATGCATTATGCCACCTTTTTGAAATATCATGAACAATAGCATAAAAGACATACAAGACAAGCATAACATCAAGTAAGTCATAATATCACCTTTAAACAATATCAACATGAAAACCTTTACCTCAAGAAACCCTTATGCTATACCTCGTGCAATGTATGGATGGCGTCCCATACCACCATCCATACTAAGGCACCACATTTAGGTCACTTAAAGTAACTTATCATTCCTTTCTTTCACCTTTGCACAATATTCATACATAAGAGGTATATCATTAATTAAGACATGACAAGGGAAAATAACTCGCAATATAACCCAAGTATAACATGCATAACATATTAAGCATTTAAGAGCCAACATTCTTTAATAACCTCATTTAGGGCACATTTATGTCACATACATTAGGATTTAGAGAAACTCACTATGACCCTCTCCAAGCCTACTCGTGCAATGTATAGGTAGCATCCCATACTACTACCTACACTTTGTAGAACCTGTCAAGAAACCATAATGAAATCTCACATGATGGGAAGTAAGCATTTAACCGACATAGACCATGAGAGCTTGTCATGGAATCCGGTGTCATGAGTCCCCACACCGAAAAGAGGTGGTCTACTTGCCTAAGGAAGACCGGTATATATAGCTTAATGGATCCACTAGCTTCCTATGCGGGCACATAGTTTATGGGATAAGGTAGACGATCATTGAAACTCATGCCTAACTGTCGGGGGAGTTTCCATCTAACCAAATCCGCTCGGTGCTTAGCCTACATTCCCATAGAATAGTTCATTACTTTGACATCATCACACATGAAAGGGTGCCATAAGCCTACCGATTCAAGGTACATTATTTAACACATGAAAGGGTGCCATAAGCCTACCGATTCAAGGTACATTATTTAACACATGAAAGGGTGCCATAAGCCTACCGATTCAAGGTACATTATTTAACACATGAAAGGGTGCCATAAGCCTACCGATTCAAGGTACATTATTTAACACATGAAAGGGTGCCATAAGCCTACCGATTCAAGGTACATTATTTAACACATGAAAGGGTGCCATAAGCCTACCGATTCAAGGTACATTATTTAACACATGAAAGGGTGCCATAAGCCTACCGATTCAAGGTACATTATTTAACACATGAAAGGGTGCCATAAGCCTACCGATTCAAGGTACATTATTTAACACATGAAAGGGTGCCATAAGCCTACCGATTCAAGGTACATTATTTAACACATGAAAGGGTGCCATAAGCCTACCGATTCAAGGTACATTTAGGAAAGCTCATTAACTCCTCTTGAAAGGGTGCCATGGGCCTACCGATTCAAGTCTCATCATTAACCTTTATGGAAAGGTGCCATAGGCCTACCGAATCCAAGGTTCATTACTTATCATTAATGGAAGGGTGCCATTAGCCTACCGATCCAAGGTTCATTATAAGCATGTGTGGAAGGGTGCCATAAGCCTACCGATCCAAGGATTCAACAATCAACAATATAATCATTTATACAAGAAAATGATGCATAAGCCCTACCAATTCAAGGTATACTTTATATTGAAGAATCCTTCATATTATATCATCAACATTCATGAGTGTCATCAACACATCTCTGGATTTCCATACATCTCATAACTCAAACTTTAAAGCATCGATTCATCAATTCTCCATAGTTGGACATTTTGTCAAACACCTTGAAGGCATGTAATGGAATCAAAGAGCATGGAAAATAGGGTAGTAATTATGCAACCAAACCAGTGAACAACCTACAACAACACCTTTACATTCATAACATGATCACATTATCTTCATTGAATTCTCATTCATATAATGTCATGATAACACTCCAATTTCTCATACTATGCCTTTAAGGCCATAAGCCTCACATACCAATACACCAACAATACACCATAAAATAAGCATGGGTAATGACATACTTCAACAATCTAAAGACCTTTAAACAAGTTTGATTCATATACATTCATTATCTAGCAACCCACTTCATAAAGGCATAAACTAGGAATAGAGAGAAATCATGGGTTCATGGAGTATAAGTGTGTTAGGTAGCTAACTCAAAGGGCTTTCCATGGATATATTATTGGCCACCCAAATTATTTGTGTGCTAGGAGATATGACCCTCCAAAGTAGACCCTCGAAAAAGGCTTCACTTGGAAATTTCGGATTTTGATACGGTTGCTCTAAAATTTGGGTTAGACCCATTTCCCACTCAATTTGACCCCCCTAAACAAGAATATGAAGTCGGATTTTCGAAAAACGAAACGGATCTTTCTATATACAGCTAAACAAGTTTCCGGTAACTTCCGAAGCACATTTTTAAAAACTTTTGGGTCAAATTCAAATATAATCATTTCATTAAGTTCTCGACTTCAAACTCACATGTGAGGCTCTAGTTTCACTCTATCATTTTCCGAGTCGTTACAAAACACAAACCATAACCAGCATTTGACCACAACATATTTTGGAAATTCAACACAAAATAGCATTAAGATAACCCCGAGTGGAAAATTTAAAGCCTCAAATCTTATCAACTTATAAAGAAACCCATTATTTTACTAAGATACAAGTAAAACAATCAAAGAGACATGCTTCGAACATACCCAAAATTAGAACAAGAGATATTCAACTGGCAGGCACATTGGTAAACGAGAGTAAGTATGTAAGCAATCTGATTCATCCTGTTTACACTAGTTTGATACAAATGAAGTAATCAGCCCACGACATGTTAAGAAACCAAACCCAGCTTCTAAACTAAATTTAGAATTTCAAACTAAACCACAAACCATAGACAACATGATGAGATTAAACAGTGGTAGAAACCAACAGTGAAATCAAAGAGGTCTAAACAATCAATATTTCAAGTAAAAATTCTACACAAAAAGACATTTATCAAGCTTACAAGCACAAAAACTAGCAACAAAAGCAATACACAGGTATATATCTCATATCAACAACCCTTAGAGGAAGAACAGTAAATCGAATGAGAAATTAGTCATTTGAGTAGACATAAACTCAGGCATAAGATGTGAACCAACGGAAAGAGGAACATAAAGTTTATGCAGCAAAACAAAACTACCAGTTAAGCCCTAAATTTGGAGAAGTAAAATAAATAAATAAGAGCTATATCACATTTTTATAAAATCAACCTTTTAAAAATGGAGAGGTATGCTCATCATTCACATGCATGACTATGCTCTTAGTATTAATCAAGTAAAAATCTTCCGAAATGACAATGATTTTGCCCCTAAGAAGGTCGTCAACCAATCCATCATTAGGCAACCTCATTCATCTATTCATCATCCGGCATCATCAATCCAAATCTTATAATCAAAACAAAATCAAAGAAGCTACAAACTATAAATCAAAAACTGAAATAGACCAATCCAACACAATATCAACATAAACATCCACAATATCAAAGCCAGACAAGGGCACACCAATCATCACAAAGAAAGAAAAGTACACCCGACAAGGGCGCAATCACATTATGCAGAAACAAACAACAAATTGAGTGCAAGGGAGGCACCCCCAACTGAAAATGAGACTGTGTCCTCACAGTCCAAATATTAAAAGAGAATACCAAAGAAAAAGACTAGTAGTAGTATGATATAACAATTAGCAACAGGGAAAAGATTGAGAAGGCAAATGTCATTAGGAAGTAGTTTGATAGGAAAAAATGATCTAAGAAAATAGTAATAAATCATAAGATGAAAGAAACTAACCAAAACTGACTATAATGTTGGAGTACTTGGTAGCCTCAGCAACATGCTTAAAGATTGCCAAAGAACCTGTCAGAAAACTCACCACCGATCTTGCACCCATAGCCTGCGATTTGATCAATATTTAAACCGTAAGTTTCAAGGGAGAGCTTCATGATAGCAGGATACCAACAAAAGAAAGGGAATTCGGGACGGGAGAAAATTACTATTACAACAACGAAATTCAAACCAAACAAGTATGAATGATTCAAAACAGAAAAAGAAGTGAATACAACTAAACATACTTATATAAGATAAGAGAATCAGGAAGAAAATGAACCATCAAAATGGGTTATCAATATTTGGAACTAAAATACTAACCAAAAGTCCAATCCTTATGTTTAAACAACAAGTAATAAGCTAGAAACCTTGAGAAATCCACTTGTGGTGTTAACTTTGTGCTAAATTAAGCCCTTTATGTTAACCACAAAACAACGAACAAGCTAACACGAGGAAACACAAACCATAACAACATTTGACCACAATATTTTGGAAATCCAACATGAAATAGAATTCAAGATGACCCCGAGTGGTAAATTTAAAGCCTCAGATCTTATCAACTTATAACCAAACCCATTATTTTAATAAGATACAAGTAAATCAATAAAAAATACATGCTTCGAACATACCCGAAATTAGAACAAGAGATATTCAACCGGCAGGCACAATGTAAAAGAGAGTAAGGAAGTACGCTATCTGATTCATCCTATTTACAGAAACTAAATTTGGAATTTCAAACTAAAGCACAAACCATAGACAACATGATGAGATTAAACAGTGGTAGAATCCAATAGTGAAATCAAAGAAGACATTTTTCAAGCTTACAAGCATAACAACTAGCAACATAAGCAAATACATAGGTATATATCTCATATCAACAACCCTTAGAGGAAGAACAATAAATCGAATGAGAAATTAGACATTCAAGTAGACATAAACTCAGGCATAAGATGTCAACCAACGATAAGAGGAACATAGGCAAAACAAAACTACCAGTTAAGCCCAAATTTTGGAGGAGAAAAAAAAACTAAGAGCTATATGACATTTTTATAAAATAATCTAATCTTCCAGTAAAACAGAGGAAAAAACTACCATTGATAGGAACAAACCTAACACATGACGACTCAAACATGATTACAAACGCCTAATTGGAAAAGATATAATAACTTAGGACCTGAACAATGCAAAACTAAGAAAAGGCTTTTTTACCTTGTGATGGCAGCGAACCGGAACAAACGAGCCAGCGACGACGAGATTTCACCACCGAAATGCGCCTCCGAGAATTCTGATGAACCCCAACAACCAACAAACAAGAAAAAGAAAGAACCTCTTATAGTGTATTTGCTGAACTAGGGTTGGTTGTCACCTTTAGGCAAATTATAGCCATAGTAAACTTTAAACTTCACAAAGGGAAAAACACAAAAAAAAAAACAAACAAGAGAAGACAATAAAACCAATCATAAATCTGAGTATTACAGGTGTGATTATTATTATAAACCAAAGGAATCCAAACAACTTTCATGTTCTAAGCGGCAAATAAATAGTGAAATATTATCTCTAAAAGCATAAACAAATAGCTTCTGAAGTAAGCTGCTTCTGAAGATTTGCAAGAACTGGAGATAATGTTAAAACAATTGAGTATGCCGATCCATTAGCACTGTAGATTAGCAGGCATCAATATAATTTTACCGCAAGTCAATGCATATAACTTACACAACAACGTGTTGTAAGCAGACGGTTTATAAAGTCCATACTTGGGAGGGTTCACGGATAATTACCCTGTAAATACCTAATGCATAACATTTTTCCTTAATGTCTATTCCTCTAAAAAAGTTGACTTCAAGTAAAAATCAATAATATTATGAAGTTCTAAAATTTCTAAGAGAGCTATTGGGTAGCTAATATATTATGCAGCTGGTTCCCAATTAAATCGTAAATTCGCATCTTCCCAATAGGGTGGCCTAGCAATCAAATAGATCAAGTAACAGCTTGGGAACTAAGGTTCAAATTTCTCAATAGTCAAGACAGTGATATCTTCTCATCTACCTAAACCTTGATTGATGTGCATAGACAAAACATACAATACTATGTAATACACTGTGGGCTCATACCACTGTTATCAAGAGGATAAATCAGGCACTTCCACAATTTTATCATCAGACGTGCAAGCAAATACAGATATCTATCAAAAAAAGTCTAATCTCTCAACCTCCCAAGGTAAGGATAAGGTCGTTGTACACTCTACCCACCCCAAACCCCACTTTATGAGATTATGTTGTGTACGTTGTTGTTGTTGGTGTTGGTGTTGTTGTTGTGGGTGAAATCAAATTCAAGCATGAAGCTCCAGTTTCCTCCGCCATACTTTTTTTAAAATGAGAACCTAATAAATAAAACATGAAATAGTAATAACAGAATGAACAAGCAAATAGCAATAGACTTGGAGAAAACTACCTTCAGTAATTTTAGATTCATCGATTTTCTCTTTTTCTTTTTTAGTCACAATAATGCTCTCCAAAGTTCTCCACTTTCTGTTGATGGCTTTGAGCATTTTTGGCAGTAAGTTCTTGTTCCTTCCTCTCAATGTCGAATTTATTCAACTTTTCAGCAAACTCTTCTATGCATGATTTGAGTTCAGGTTTAGCAAAACTTCTTCCCCTAAATGAAGACAACATTCAAACAGGCAGATAAAGTTCACTTGGTTTCTTCAAGCATGTTTGGGAAGCACCAATTCTAAAGTAAAGCAAGCCAAAATGACTACGAAAAGAGCCTCAAATGAGTTGAAATCTACCATTCATCAACACCCCCAATGTGAAAACTTTATTTGTTATGTAAAGAAAATCAAAAACACAAGAGGCTCATATTTCAAGACACCACAAATCAATTTTCTTTCTCAATTAAGCACAAAGGTAATGGCTTCCGTTGGTACTAACAAATATTCCACATGCAAACTTTTCACAAAAAAAATCCTCTCATTCTTATGACACATTTTCAAAAACCAATTCAAAAACCAAGAAACATTTAAGTGACAACAACTCAAACTCAATAAATGACTCAACTCATTAACTCTTTCACATGCTTACTTGACTCAATTAGAAATTTTCAAAATCACCACTTTTTCAACTTACATGCCCTCACAAGAAAGAAGAATCCCAAAACCACACACATATATAAACAGGACAAGGGACAAAGATACAACACTCACACTCACAAAGAATCATCTCATGCACACAAATGTCACACCATAGGCTTGTCCATATTTTCATTCAACATTGACTCAACTCCATTTGGTTAGAAATCTCAAAGGACTTTGTTAAGCTTGTAATGTAGGCTTAGGGAGGTAAGGATATTATTTAGGTATAAGAGACTAAACCCTCCTTGAACGCTACACAACAACTCATCATTTCCAACTTTCTCCACTTTTCTTCACTCCTCAAAACCATGCACAATTCCACACTATTTTTCATTTTTCTTTTCTTATTTCCACTCCAGATGTCCCACATGCAACCATTTTCAACTTTTGGAGGATTCAAGTCTCATTTATTCATTTTAGTCAAGTCTCATTATTCATTTTAGTCAAGTCTCATTATTCATTTTCTTTCATTCTTTTTCAAAGCGTTTTCTTTCTTTAAGACTTTCAATCCATCCTTTAATTTCTCCCTTCTTCTTTTTTTCTTTTTTTTATATCAAGCCCTCGTGTGATAAGCATCCCTTCAATGAATTTCCTATAATACCCCCAACTTAGACTTTTAGCCTTAACTTTCAGAACCTCAAGTTCAAGGAGGGAATTCAAAAGAGGGTTACTTTTTCAAAAAGGATACGGCTTGTAATATGGTTGCCAATAAAAAGGATTAGGCTTAAAGGAGGAAACTAAGGATATATTTAGTGCTAAGTGGACTTCACTTCGATTAAAAAAAAAGAACATCAAAAATCCATGAGACCCACTTTGATTAAAAAAAAAGAAAAAGAACATCAAAGAAATCCTAAGATCATTTCTCCAACCAAACTCAATCAAGACAACCATTTCAAGACCAACTGGGCAAGTTATAGGTAACAAAAGCGAACACAAGGCATTATTCAACAACTCACCACACATGGCCTGCAAATCAATCAAGATGGTTCAAAATCTTACTGCCTTTTATAAATACAAGTAGCATTGAACATTTTAACCGATAACGAATTAAAAGTCACAAAAAGAGTTGTTACAACATCATTCATAACATGCTCAACCTTTTTAAAAATAGAGAGGTTATGCTCAACACTATTCACATGCATGACTATTGTCACACCCCTATTTTTCCCCAAACGAAAGTTTGAAAAATAGAGTTTCTCCAATTAAAGTGACATTTTGAAAAGGGATTATTTTATTTCAGAGTCGTCACTTGAATTGAGTTTTGGTGTTCCAAGTCACCTAATTTTTACCCCTAATCAAAAGGAAGTTGATTCTAATTTTTAATGGTCTACGAACTAGAAATCTGGATAAGAAATTCTATTGACCAAGGGGAAGGTGTAAGGCACCCCTCGAGTCCCGTGGTTCTAGCACAGTCGCTTCATTGACTTACATCTTGGCTTGACTTAGTTTTTGGATATAGTATACTTATTAGCTATATATTTACTTATATCCCACCTTCTTTGATTTATTGTAACTGTCTTGTTTAGATTTTTTAGAGTTCGGAAATTTTAGTATTGTCGTTTTAGTGGGAGTAGATAGTTGAATTATAATAGGAGGTAAAATTCTAGGGGATTTAGGATTAGGTTTAGAAAAGAAAATGTTAAAGAGGTTAAGACCAAATTTTTTTTTCTTTTGCACGTTATTTTTGTAAAAAAATTTCAATATTCTGTTCCTTCTTCTTTTTACCTTTCAATTTTGATTTTTTTGTTTTTGTTTAACATAATGTTTCTCTTCTTCTTTCATTTAAATAATTTTTGGTTAAATTTTTTGTTTTCCCTTTTTTCTTTTTTTCTTTTTTACCTTTTCTTTATTTTTTATTTTTATTACTTTTTATCACTTTCATCTTTTGTTTCTTCTGTTTCTGCTTTTTTATAATAAATGTTTATTTATTTTTATTTTATTCTTACTTTCTTTTTAAGGATCTATTCCTCTTTTTTATCTTTATTTTTCTCTATTCTGCACTATTTTTTTCTTTTATTATTATATTTTTTCTCTGCTCACATATTCTTTTTTAATTCTATTTATTTTTTAATTATTTTTTTTCCTTTAAACTAATTGAGAGAAAATTGATATACATAGTGATATAATATTCCTTCACCAAATGATGATAGTGTGATTACTAATAAGAGAACTATCTCACGTTGATGAATTAATGACTCACTCAAATGAACTAATGTTCATCTCCTCCATTTTTAATATTTCGGATATGATAAAAATTATTCTAATAATTAATTGTCTCCATAAGTATGGCAGTATTATTTATTTATTAAAATCCAGAAACTCCAAATGATGACTAATACAGAACCTCTAACCAATTTACATGTAATTAAACTAAAGTCATAAACGAAGTTGTCAATTT